AGTAGAATTTTCCCACAATGATATGAGTTGAGCTGAAGTTTCCATTGAATTTCACATAGCCTTGCTTTCCTTGGATGAGAACAACTTTTGGGAAAGCAAGAGTATGTGAAATTCAATGGAAACGTCAGCTCAACTCATATCAATGTGGGAAAATTCTACTACCAGTTTTTCATCACCTTACACGAAATAGGGTGAATACATCTCATTAGTATTTCATCACCTAAAACGACTTAAAGTGACCACATTTTTATGCCTTGTCTACTGGTAGTCTAAATAGCAGCCCTCTCTACAATCTTAAGGTATAGTTTTATTCTTTCATAGCAAGCGACCTCATGATCGCATTCCTCGACTTCGCCTTTTTCCTGCTGTTTACCAATTGGGGGTATTTTGCCCAGCCCATCTTGCTAGCCCTCCTCTCTCCGTGTATGTAGCTGAGACTGAAGCTGCATACAACTCAGTGGATAAAGTTGCATTGAAGGAGAGCATGCTAGTTGGTTGTGGCGGGCGGAATATTAATGTCAGCCTTTTAATGGAATAGATCGAATCTTGAAGCCCTAAAGTAGGAATGACTGCTCACTTTACTCTTCTGCATCCTTGGTCCATAATTAATTCTCCATTAAATCTTGTCTTATAAAAAGTGGTTTAGTGATGATGCTGATGGTGGTGATAACGATGATCATGAATTCCTCTAACTCCAATTCTCATAGCTGAGTAAGGGGAGGGTTGCCAACAGAATAAGTGAATATAGTACCGGTTACTAGCCCGGAAATGGTGATGGCTAAGGAGAACTTAAAAATGCATTTGAATCAGTGGCAGCACTCACTGATGATGCAGACTACGATGTCGGCGAAACGTTTGAGAATGTACCAAGTCCACTGTCTGATGCTGGGAAATATGATAGCTACTATGGCAGAGGACTTGAGACTTGCGTTCTATTAAGTCGCTCTGACAACAAGACCACTTTACGGCAACGAGGTCAACCCACTTAGATACATCAAAAGGAGACTGCGACCATACTGGCGGTCACACCATCTTGGTCTTCATATCTTCATTCAATCTTCTGTTTATGCCGGATACATTGGCGATTATTTTATACGCGCTAGTTTATTCTTTCCTAAATGAGATGGGGAGGCCTCAAGATACCATTGAATCACACTTTGTATTGTCCTCAAAAAACATTTTAACTCAAAATGGGCATCAGTTTTTAATTCGCCTTGGTCTCATTATCACTCCAAACAGTAATCAAGCCTAGCTAGTACAGTGTGTATGTATTCTTGACATGTTACCACTACACCACATGAATCCTTGAGAATTGCTACATTATTGGAGCAAAGTCTTTGGCATTTGGGCTACTTACAAATAAGCAAATAGAACATTATGTTATCTAAAAATAGTTTCAGAATTAGTTTGACCCTGTTTTCACAACTTGGTCATATTGGCAGGAAGACCTGGGGGATCTTACCTAATCCGGAATCCATATTATGCGTGATACTTTCCAGAGTCGGACCATGGACTTGGTACCTTCCCAGCCTTTTCGCCGGCATCATAGTCAGCATCGTCAGTGAGCCTTGCCATTCTTAGCACCACACTACAACTCATAAAAGAGACAAGGGTAGTCGATCCTCTAACTAAATGTATTCTTAACAATTATAGTATCTCTCCTTCTGTCCTGGGCTATTCACCTATCCTATATCCTCGTATCACCCCTTCAGTATCACAATTTCTTACTTGTTATTCTAAACCTATTTAAAACCTATTCACACTCCCCGCTGATTTCCGCATCTCTACCATTTTGCCGGGAGTGTTGATTTAAGGCTGCGGTTTAATCCACAATTCTCTCCCTTTGGGTCCTATCAAAATCCCCTCCTTGCTCCGTAGGATCCTTCCCTACCTGTTTCAGTGATTTCACTCCATCGCAGCCACCGTATCCATGCTACTCAAGGCGTTATGTTCTACACTATGCCTCAAGCATTTGATATCAACTACACACCAGCCTCACTGAGCAAGCCCCTAAAGTTCTTATTCTCATTTGGCATGACAACCTAACTTGACGATGCAGATTCCCTTCTCGTTGTGCTGCCTGTGCTCCGAATAAATCTCGAGGTCAAGCCTTTACTTCATAGATCATGTATATGAGCAAATTTATCCACTAAAATCTCACTAGAAATGGCTTTCACTCTTCCATCCCTAATGCCAATTCTATGACTTACTTTTCCGTGCCGACCCTCAAATGTGATGGTTCTACTTGATTTGAATGGGCTCACTATTACATCGTATCTTGATTTCCTATTGTTCTTCCTTGGTCTCCGTGTAATTTCTTTTCCTAAAATTAAAAATATCCCCTTTGTCCGGTCACCCTCTTTTTGCTGATATTGCTGTTCCCTGATCTCCTCAGAGTTTGCGTAGGCAGTATGCAAAGTTTTCGCTAATCCTGTATTCTTCAAATCTTTTGTTGCCTAGATTAATTTCAGTCAGGATATCGATGGCTTTGCGTATCTTGCGTTTTGTTGTATCTCCACCATATGCAGCCAGCCCTTCTGTCGATTTTCACTAGATTCCGTGTCCCGTCCGTGCGATGTGTTGCACTACCTCGAATCTGTCAATGTCTATGTCTTTGGCGTTCCTTTATTCGTTGGCTGATTTTTTTTTCTGTTTCTTTAACATACTTTTGCTCACAATTATCGTATTTTATGCTATAGACTCCCGAGCAATCAGGTTTGTCAACCTTTTTGTGTTGCGTCGGCAGGCTTGTAAATAGTGTGTCCTTTTCTTTTGTTGCCACCTTGGTATTCCATTTTCTTAGCAACGGTCGCGATTTCTGGCTTAGTTCGCATGAGGGCATGCATATCCACTATTTGTCTTCCTCCCGATGCCTGATCTTATTTTCATAAAATCCTAGTTTAAATCTGTTTTATAAATTTTATGGGGTACCCTTTACTAAGGCAAATCTGAGTCAATTTCTCCAAATCCTCGTTCCAGAACTCAGTGTCCGTTAGTCTTTAGCTTATTATGATCATACTCCTCATTCTTCCGACATTCCGTTTGTACTTTTGATGAGACTTCAAATGGAGGATTATGTCTGCATGTCTGCTCTTTCGACAATCACACCAAAGAACGTGATACATGCAAATGCCTGGCCTTCCTTTAAATTCACATCTACATGGTGACGCAAGGATACTAATGGCAGTCTGGCGTAGTTGTTTGTTTTTTGACATTATACACTGCCCTATCATGATTCGAGTCCTGTTGGGGGTGTTGGGGTAACCTACGCAAGGTCGGAAATGTAGTTTACTTCTGCCTGGGTGGTAATTGCTTTTGGGAAGGCAAGATAATGTGAAATGGCATTGAAACACAAGTTCTAATCATATCAATGTGGTAAAGTTCATCTGCCACACCCTCATCACCTTAACGAAATAGGATGAATACATCTTCTCTCTGTTTCCGATGAAACCAATTCAAACCTTTTAAACAAACCTACTTTTGGTAGTATTATAAACTCAGTTTTTTTTCACATATATTTGTCCATAATGTTTGAAATATGAGCAATCGAAGTCTATCTCCTCTCGGTTTTAACTAGTGTATGCCGTCATTTCTTCCTTTCAGGTGGATTGGGCTCTTCTTCGCCTCTTGAATCGGAGGAACTAGGCGCCTATTCATTAGGCGGTCGAATGACGACAGGCCCAACTTCACGCCGTACGAATGCCTCTGGCTCATTCGCACCGTCTCCACCTCGAGTCTATTCTCCCGTCCCCGTGCCGGCACCGTCTATACCCACGCAGCCCGCTCGCTCTCTGTACTTACCACCGCCACCTCTCTACACTCTGCCCACCATGGCCTCTCGGCAGCGGTCATCTTTGTCGATGTCTTCCAGACGGCCCCGAAGTCATCGCCAGGCAAAACATAAGGCATCCGACCTACCAGACCTGCTGGCCTCTCATCATCCTCCGACAAAGTCCTCCAACAGATGGGCAACTCGGAATCCTGTCGAAATTCCCGTCTCGACGAGTCCCACCCAGAAATACAGCGCCCAGTTGCCCCAACCGATCGGCTTAAGTGTTGGTATCGCGCGTCTGGACACCAACACCTCGCGCCTGGCCTGCATGACTCGGAAGTTTGCTGAAGAGCGACAACAGTTGGAGGCCTGTCTGAACGTGTTTTCTAGTGGACTTTTATCCGTGGAAGGGAGAACCCCAACGACGAACCCATCCGACGGTTCACGGCATGATACTATTCACTTAAACGAAGTTGATTATGGCTAATATAGGTACAGTCATAAAATTTGAAAGGCTTCCTATATTCACAAAATCTCTAGCACTGATCCCCTGTTAATCTTTGGCTGTTTTGCATACATTGCATTGATTACTTTTAAGTGGAGTATCTCATTGAATACGAGACTACCACAAATTTCTTTAATTTGTTGCATTTAAGAATGCCTTTGCAAACTCAGAAGCTTGTGCTATGTGAAAACAAATTGCCTCATGTGAAATGAATCTAGGTCATCTTGGATATGAGATGTATTCACCCTGTTTCGTTTAAGGTGATGAAGAACTGATAGTAGAATTTTCCCACAATTATATGAGAAGAGCTGATGTTTCCATTTAATTTCACATAGCCTTATTTTCCCAAAAGTTGTTCTCATCCAGGGTGGACTGCAGTTTCGACCTCGCATAGGTCCTATCAACATCTCCAGTGGTAGTCGAACCGTGACAGTGCAGCATGGGAGCTTGAATTGTTAACCGCTCGGTCACATTGCCGCGAGTGCCCTTGAGTCAGAGGGTAGATGTGAATTTCAAGGAAGGCCAGACCCTTTACCATATCACATTGTTTAATGGGATTGTCGATAAGGCAAACGTATTTTTGCTATAACAATCGACTACGTTACATATTTTTCATATTTAATTAGAGTCTCGAGACTACCAGTAAATCATTAATATGAGATTTATTCATCCTATTTCGTTTAAGGTGGTGAAGGGCTGTTTGTCGATATGTTTTTTCGAATAAAAGTCTATAAGCAAGGGTGCATAAACTAGAATGTAATTTATTCTTTAAGTTGTATATTGGTTCTCAGTGATTTCATAGGACGCTAATTCAGACCACATTCATTTTAGATGACTATAATGATGAGGTCAACTCCCAAGCTTACTTTTTGATCAATTATGATCCCCATCTGTAATCAACTAACAATAATATATTTCGTATACTGACAGTCTGCCGTCTTTTTGGATTCCACATTGAAAGAGAATGCTTTCTCCTTTGGTAGCTGACACCTAGAAGGACATAATTTCACGATGTCAAATTTGCTCTATTTGGATTATATTGACTTAGCCCAGAGTAGAAACGACCTCTGCGCATGAAAAGGCAGAGATACGAAAAGAAACTGCCTGCCTATTCGACAAAGATTAGAGAAACGCAAAAATGTTTATAAAGGCTGCTGA